AGTTTGAGGTTACAGTGAGCTATGACTGCACCACTGTAGTCCAGCTTGGGTGACAAAGAGAGACCCTATCTCCTAAAAATAAAAAAATAAATAAATGCATCATACTGAATGAATATTTTACATTTATTTTCTTAAGCACTCCATGAATGGAGGCAGCATGGTATTACCGCTGACACAGATTTCTGAATCAGGGAGAACTGACTTTGAATCTAGTTTCTATCTTTTTACTATTTGAGAAATCATGGAATAGTTATTTTGACCCATTTCCCAACCCTGTACACATACGTATGTCTGGTTCAATGTGCGGCAAAAATTGGGAACTAGTATTAATATTATGAAACATGTACAATTAAGGTTATATATTATATAGAAAAGTAACACTTACTATTAGGATATTTACCCTTAGATATGCATTCTTTTAAAAAATGTGATAAAAATGCATTCTATTACTCTTTGGAATCAGAATTTGCTATTATATGGGTCATTAACTTACCAAGGTTCTACTTTAAGAGGTGAAGATATTTTTTCTGGAAGAAAAAATCCATGCCATTTTGAAGCTTCAATTAGTTCTTGTGGTATCCTTTTTGATGCATCATAATAGTGACCAAATCTTGAAGGTGATACTGGTCCAATCTGCTAAAAAAAACAAAAACAAAACACATATAGGTTGTTGTTTAAAAAATTTTTATTTTAAATTACAAGTTTTTTGTCCTACATCCAGCAAAACAATGATATATTTATGTACTTTTATACTAATAAGGAAGAGCTGATATACATAGACTTATTAAATTTCAAAGAAGCATAAAAACTTTATTATTTAAACTATTTATAGTTAAAAATCAACCATTTCATTTCTCATGTTTCTTCACTACCAGTGGTGCCCTAAGTTTGGTAGGAATTTAAACACCTCTCTAGTTTTTTTTTTCTTTTTTTTTTCATTATATTGTATACCTTCCTAAGTTCAAAAATTTAAAATACATAATTCTTAATTAATGTTTAAGATTCTAGGTTTTAATGACAAATTAAAAACACAGCTGCTAAGAACTAAATGAAAACTTAAACCAAATTCATTCAGTGGTGAAAGGTCCAAAAGAAACCAGCTATTTAAATATATTAAACTGAGAAACTGTTTTAAAACTAAATTCTCATAAGACAATACATATGTGTATTTGATATTTCTTACAAACTTAAACTTACAGCATAAAATGTACTGCAGTACTCCAGAAAGGAACGAGGCACATGATAAAGTGGGAGAATGTATATAAACTACATTAGATCAATCAGAACCTGGCATAATCATCAGTTTATTGATAATTCCTGTTTTGTGTTCTCTACTAATAATTTCTCCAACAAATTATCTTTTTATCAGAAACTCTAATAACTATTGACACTGAATTTACTTACATAGGATAGTAAAAGTCTACTAACATAATATTAGCATTATATTGCTTTGAATGGACTTTGGGCTAATTTCTTTCATTCAGCACATGGGAAATATATATACACCTCCATTCCGAGTTTAACTATTAACAAATTCCATCTGGCAATAACTTCTAATAAACGCTTTAAGCTTATCTTATATAATTTCTACTACCCTGAATGCTATAAAACAGACAAGTTTCAGAACATTCAACAAAATTAGATATCTCTGAAGAAATTGAAGAACTACACACAGTAGATTCTTACCTTACTAAGTGATAACATTTTAATTTAGATAAACACATTTTCTTGACACTAGATTGCATTTAAGATTTCAAAGATTCATATTCGTAAATTAAATGCCTATAAACATTAAATTATACAGTAACATGGAATAGAAAATTTTTAAGAACATTAAGAAA